TAATAATAATAATAATCATAATCATAATAATCATAATAAATAATATGCATATTTGTATATTTATTTATAGCAGAGCGACCATAAACAGCAATAACACAAAGTCAGTACAGGTGTGTAGATAGATATACGAGGTAAAGATAAAAAAAATAAATAAATAAAAAAAAAGTAGGGGTGTTAAGGGGGACAAGGGTTGAGGGTCGGAGAGATGAGATGGGGGATTGAGAAAACATAAGTAAAAGCAATTGGGTGGTAAAGCGTCGCGCGCCGTCCTCCCTTTCGTACTCTCGGTCTCTCACCTTGGATAGGTAGGTTGCGTAAGGATGTCCCAGCTGGGAAGCGTCGATGCTCAATATCTTGAAGTGCCGATCTAGCTTGAGGATGAAGCTGCCGACGCGCCGCTCGTCGAGGCTCTGGCGCTGGGCGATGCAAATGACGCACGGCCCGAGATCGGCGCTGTTGCTCAGATCGTCGAATATACTGCCAAAGTCGTCCCGCGACAGAACGTTCAGTGCCAGGTCGTTGCTGCTGTTGCTGCTGCCGCTGATGCTGCCCGCACCACCGATGCTACAGACTCCTCCACCACCACCACCACCACCTCCCACACCTTCGACGCCTCCTTCGATATTCACTCCGACGCTGTCGTCCTCGCCGTCCGCGTTCGGATAGATGACGATCGAGGTCACGTGCATGAGTTCGTACTTTGAGACGCGTTGCTGCTTCTCTTCCATAGTCGCGTCCTTATCATCGGGAGGCTTTACCAGAAACCGGCATTCGAAAGAGTTGCGCTTCGTGTGGTCTTTTGGCCAGCCTGTTTCGACGCGATCATCGTCGCACAAATCGGCGTTTCGGTGGTTGTTCCAAGTTTTTGGTTGGTTGGATTTTCGTTTTTTCATTCGGTTTTGTTTTTGTTTTTGGTTTTTGATTTTTGGTTTTTGGTTTTTCAATTTTCAGTGGAGATTGGAAGATCATCGTTGGTCGTGACGGTCATTCATTGATCACAGATAAAAACACACACGGGCGCAAACAAAAGGTTTGTTTTTTTATTACGTACATCACTTGTAGTATGGATGGATGTGTACAAGGAGTTAGGGAGAGAGAAAAAAAGAATATATATNCCGTCATTAAATTTGTTTTCAACGAAACAAGTTTTTCAAAGTACCGGTTACATGAGCAATTGTTATTGCTTCAAAGAATTTGTGTGTCGAAAACTACTTAAAAACCATACTTACATTAAAAATCTTTTATATGCAAGAGTTTGTATACTGTAATTCAGTTGTCTGCTATTAAGTCAAGTTAATCTGTCATTCAATTAAGTCAATGTGTTTTCGTATAAAAAAAAAAAGTGAGTTGCAGTGTGAGCAGTTAATTTGTATATATTACTTGATTTATATTGAAAAGTACTTAAGAGTTAACTCACACAAATCATACACTGATATTGTCAATTTTCAATTAACAGTGAAAGATATTTTAAAGGTTACACTCACTCCTTTATTCATATAAAAACTAATGTATGAAGGAATTGAAAATAATTCCTTCTAAGTGAAGCAGGACTTTTGTTTAATTATAATATATAATATGTATTCTTATATATTCTTATATAGACATATCTATATTTATAAATTGAAAGTGGTTAGGTCACGTCGATTAAGGCAGCCTACTTAGGGCCTACCAAATGCCCTCTGACGCTGTCAATGTAGAACCTCAGTAGGCTAAAGAGGCAGCCTTAGCAGGCCCTACTGATGGCCTGCCTAAAATTTCTGCTTTGGCAGCTGCATGTACCGTGTATATAGTTTACACTATTTTTTATAAATTAATTTTGTACACTTATTTTATTTCAGAACTTAATCTTTCCTGACATCTTTGCTAATAAATTGTTAGATATTTGGAACATATATACATGTGTGTGTGTATGTGTCCTTTGACATGTTTATAAAAATATCCGCTGAATTTACTGAAAGCATTAATGTCGGATGTTTCGTTTCCACACATGTAAAGCAGCTTTGCTTGTGTCCGGGTTCCCGACACCCCTCTTGCGGTTTTTTAGGGCACTGCCCAGCCCAGCAATGCGTAAAAAGTATTTCCTACAAAAAATACATCCTGACTATTCAAAAATGCCCACGTTATTCTTAAAGTTTTAACTTCTGTCTGCACTCCTAGAGTGCCAGTTTTTTCTATCATAAAAACAAAATAGGAATGAAACTATGTCTTCTTACTATAAGTTTTTGTTTCGTTAAAAAAAAATCAAAAAAAAAAAAAAAAAATAAAAAAAAAAAAAAAAAAAAAATGATGAATCTCGATGTAAACCGTCTTTGAAAGCCAAATGAGTGTATATTGAGCGTTAGTAAAGTAGAAAAAAAAAAAAAGAGTAACATATACAAAAACAAACGTGGTGGCAACAGTGTGCGACTTACCTACTGACATTGGAAAAGCGTTCGGTAAGAAGGACTGATGATCTCCGTGATGAATAATATTGTAAATATCCTTTCCGACCACATCTTCCTTGGTAAATCTTATGAAATCGGCAATGTTGTCCGTCACGTGTAACAGTCGCCCTTCACTAGTCGATATGAACACAAAGCCTTTTATAGCCTGAAAATATCGAAAATAGTATTAGATTCACTTTGATTTCATGTGTCGATCGTTTGCTTGGATTGTTCGTAAAATGAAGGATTGAAAAAACTTTCTACACGCATAAACTGATTAAATTTCGAAACCTACGTTGTCACGTAATAATTACCAATGTTTCCTAATTTTTACACCAGCTAAAAAAAACATCAAAAGTGATGTACTTTCCAGTTTAAGTATCAAAAGCTGAATGTTTTTTTTCTTTGAAATTGGTATTACAGGTCCGAGAATCCTTTTACGCACATTAGAAACAACTATTCAATTATTATGCCAGTAATGATAATATATAAACAAAATAGTAACATACAAGGGACCAGCAGACTTCATTGTTGTTACTGTGATGCGTAGACTGATCTTCGGGCGGTAATTGCAACTTTGACAATAAATAAATAAATAAATACATCGAATGTCCAAAATGGAAGAAAACTCGAAACCTATGGTTGGCCCGTATATGATGAGACTGAGCTTCTTGTAGTAAGTGTACAAAGCATTTTCAGTCATGCGCAAGTGAATTTTGACTCTCCTAATCGTAAAACTCATGATTTTTTATTTTTCCCACTAGGAGTCGTTTGACCATGAATCATTATCGCCTAGCATACGCGTCGGGTTGAAGGGCTTACGAGGCTCACTATGTTACAAAGACATGCACGCCCAATGACTAATATTAATTATTTTTGTTTAAATGGTTATATGTAAGTCGAAGAAAACTATCGGTTACATATTGCAGCGGAAGTGTCAAAGAAAGCCGGGAAACAAACAGCATAAATGGAGGATAACCTGAAAGATAATTATCGGCAAATAGTATATTACAACTATGGTGAACTAAAATTGAAAAATTCTTTTTCCGCCCTCGGGTGGTTTTGGGAGGCTGGTACTTCCTCGGGCGAAAAAGCAGTTTTCCGGAACTCGTTCGAAAAGTCTCCTTTACAAACCTCGTTACGTCCCTCGCCTTCGGCTCGGGCCGCAAACCTCTCGGTTCGCAAACAATGACTTTTCAAACTCGTAGGAAAACTACTATT